GTAAAGTATTGATAGTGGCACATACATTGAGAAAAATTTAGAGTCATGAATGTTTACAGGTTAGTCAACCAAAAGAAGTAGAAAAAGGCAATAAAAGTTAGAAACCGATGAAATAGAAAATAAAGATACCACAGATATACTAAAAAATTAATAGTTTTCTTAAAAAGTAGAAAAACAGGCCAACCGTGGTGGCTCACGCTTATAATCCCAGTGCTTTGGGAGGCTGAGGAGAGCAGATCACCTGAGGTCAGGAGTTTGAGACCAGCCTGACCAACATGAAGACACCCCGTCTCTACTAAAAATACAAAATTATCCGGGTGTGGTGGCTTATTCGTGTAATCCCAGCTACTCAGGAGGCTGAGACAGGAGAATCGCTTGAACCTGGGATGCAGAGGTTGTGGTAAGATGAGATCACACCACTGTACTCCAGCCTGGGCAACAATAGCAAAACTCCGTCTCAACAAAAAAAAAGTAAAAAAAAAGACAAAAACAAACAAACAAAACACACACACACACACACACACACACACACACACACCTCGTAAATGAAAAATATTAGCAACACAAGGGGACATCATTAGAAGAGAAGAGATTTAACATATTATTGGAGAATCCCATAAATGACTTGAAGCCAGTAAGTCAGAAACCTTGGACCAAACAAATTCTTAGAAAAATATAATGATAGAATGCTCTAGAAGAAATAGCAAGCTTGTGCAGCTTAATAACCATAGAAATAAAATTAGTGTTAAAAATTATCACAAAAAATTTACCATCCCAAATGATTTTGTCAGCAAATTCTATGTAACTTTGAAGGAAAGGATTCCCATTATTTTGCATTTTCCAGAGTATGGTAAAAAATAGAAACACCCTAATCCCATGAGACCAGGAGAACCTTGAAGCCAATCTCAGCTGTTATTAATTATTGTGAGTAAGAATGGGAATTAGCTGGTTTTGGGATTGACACATCAAATTCTATTTCTTTACATAAACAAATGAGAAACAAAAGTTGCAAAAATATGTATGCCATTTACAATGACAATAAAATTACAAGAAAAGCCTAACAAAATTTGTGCAAGACAAGACTGGAGAAAACCAGCTAACTTTGTTGAAAGCTTTAAAAAATGATGTAACTAAAAAGAGATATCAGGTTCATGAATTGTAAGACTCATACTATAAATATTTCTTACTCAAACATATTTATAGATTCAATGACTTGTCAATAAAATTCCAAAAAGACTTTGTAAGTTGATTCTCATTCTTATACGGAATACACTAGACCAACATTTGCCAAAAACATTCCAAGAACACAATGTGCTTATGCGCACGAGTTGCTCTGCCAGGTGTCAAAACCGATTATTAAGCAAAGGGTAGTGTGTGATTGGCCAAAGGATAAAGAAATTGATCAGTGGAACAAAACAGAACACTTAAAAACAGATCCATCCATGAAATCTGGCGTCCATTGTCATCGCAAGTGTGCAGTAAAATGGGTCATTTAATTCAAAGTTATGTTCTGTGGCATTTTATGTCAGTAAATTGAGCATTCTGTCATTCATCTGAGGTGGTGCTTGCAGGGGAACAGGGTACAGTAAGGCAGACTCATATCCTGAGTGTTAGTTCCGGCATGAACGAATCGCTGCCCCTCCAGGATCGAAGACACTGGATGTATTAGATTTTCCACGAGGTGACTGACTGCCCTCTTTGCACAATGTTATATATTGAGACGTCAAGTTTGGGCTCTGCTACTGACAGAGCTGAACATTCAAGAGCAGGAATGGGTAGCTGAGTCTTGGCATGAAGAAACCGAGGGTACCTGGCCTATTCATAACCACTACTTCTCTCATCATAACTACTCCATTTATGGGGCCACTGTGGAAGACAGGATCGAGTCTGCCTGCTATTTGCCCCTAAATGCGTCCTGTCTACTTAGCTGTTGAAGTCTTCCTTTACTGATACGTATTGATTATGCCTACACTCTTGGGTCTTCCCTCTATTTTCCTCCTCTTCATTTCCAATCTTTCAGTGTGGGTACTACTAGGCCCTTCTTAATCAGTAAAGCAAATCATTGCTACTGTCCAGAAATGCATGCATCTTCTTATTTTTCTCTCCCTAAAAAAACATGACCGAGTATGTCTACTGCCTGTGGCTCTACAAATTGATTTTCTTCTCATTGTTCTTTGAGGTCATTTCTGAGCAGGTCTGTAGTACAGCATCAGACCAATTCTGTCTTTGCCAACATGTTGAGCTAACCTACTTCTGGAGGAAGACTTTTATTTTCTTTTTGGTTCATTGTTAGGCGGCTTTAGAGAATGGCTAAGAAGGCTCTGCTTGTGGGTGGGACACCCATCACCACAAAAAATGTTGGCAATATGGATATCTGAGGCATCTGTTCTTGTAATTTTGAGGGCCATCTGGAAATGCTCAGGACAAATTCTGAATGTAAAACTCACATTGTATGATGGATTGTGACTGCACCTGTCCAACTTTGTAACTTGGTGAGTCTGACAATACTCAACTCATTAGGTAGTTCCAGTGGTTAGCACTCTCTGTCTGCTAGGGCTGGGTAGTGTGCCAGAAGTTGCTTTTCAAACACCAGACAGTGACTTGCTTCAGAAGTCTTGTGTTCTATGCAGTGACTCATTTACTGGGGATGACCAGAGGCTTTATATTAGTACATTATCCACCACAGATCCCTCTAGCCCCATTGGATCTGCCAGGTCATACAGTCTGGACCTGTGACAAAGTTCTCTCTCATTCTATGCACTTAAAACTGGCAGCCTCTGAGTCGCTTCATAAATGATCAGAGCACTTTGTGCAAAAATGGTTTATGCTACCACCAAAATACAGAGAAAACTACTAAGCCTGTGGCCTTGTTTTTCTTGGTAATAAAGAATGTATGGTTCAATAACTAACCCTTCTCCTTAGATAGAATACCACAGCATGCTCCAGATTAATGAAATCTTGTGAACAGTATGAAAGTGGCAGGTGCCTGAATTTTAATTTTGTAGAGTATGTAGTGCCCTCTGGCATGTTATGTACCTTCTCAGGGGATCAAGAATACTTGCCACTTTCTGCTCATCAGAGCATGTTAATATACGATTAACATGGTGGCCAAGCATGGTAGTTTTCAGAATGGCAAGATGACCTAAGTCTTTATAGAATACGTTGTGACAAAGAACAGAACTGACACAGCCTAGAGGAAAGACAGTACATGTGAACTGCTACTGTTCCCATGTAAAAACATATGGCTTCGTTCCCCTTTACCCATGAATTTTAACAATAATTTACTGTATCAATTATAGTAACCATATCAATAATTGTATACCACAAATCCGTGATGATCTATTACATTAGCAGACACGCAGTGTGGAGGCTTCTCAGGGTACCTGACCACATATCATCCAGACGCAGCATCAGCTATAGTTATGAGTACGTTCACCAATATTCTAGATCTCCTCTCCATCTAGGCACAGAAAAGGATTCCATTTCCCTGCCCTTTTCGAAATGAGGCTAAGTATATTTGACATGCTTTGACCAGTAAAATGGCAAAGTCACATGCATCACTTCTTGGTGGTAACTGTTAGCCAGCATGTTAGCATCTACATTTGCATCCCATTGCATGGTGATTATCAAAGTGTTGATGTGTGTCTATTCCTGCCCCAAATAACCTGTGTTGGTCATGCCCATGTGAGCAAGAAGTAAAACTTTAGTTGTGTTAAACTACCGAGATTTTGGGGTCATGTACAACTTTAATATACACAGAATCTAGCAAAATATGGCCCACTGCCTGTTTCGATCATACTATGTTGTTGAACCCTGGTATAACCTATGCTATCATGATAAAAAAAAAAATGAACAAAAATACCTTAACTCTGAAATGCAGCCCCATACTGAGCATAAGTAGGAATAATTGTTTTCCTAAGCCACTCAATTTTGGCATGACTTATTATGCAGCATTATTGTGGCAGTACCTAATGGATACACTACGTGATTTAATTGTATAGTTTTCTTTTATTTATTTATTTTTATTTTTGGAGACAGAGTCTCGCTCTATCGCCCAGGCTGGAGTGCAGTGGCACGATCTCGGCTCACTGCAAGCTCCGCCTCCTGGGTTCACGCCGTTCTCCTGCCTCAGAGCTGGACTACAGGTGCCCACCACCGCGTCCAGCTAATTATTTGTATTTTTAGTAGAGGCGGGGTTTCACCATGTTTGCCAGGATGGTCTCGATCTCCTGACCTTGTGATCTGCCCGCCTTGACCTCCCAAAGTGCTGGGATTACAGGCATAAGCCACCGTGCCCGGCCAATTCGATAGAGTTTTAACACATACAAACTTCAGGAAAAGTATTTGAAGTCACGGTGGCAGTCACCCTGGTAAGTGGTGACTGGAGGAAACCCCAAGAGGGTGGTTGAGTTGCTGTGATGTTCTGGTTCTTGATTTATGTGGTAGATACACAGGAATATTCAGTTTCTGAAAGTTCATCAGGTTTAAACAACTTGATGAACTTCTGATTTTAGTTTTCCTTATGCCAGGACGTTTTCCATATTTTCTTTGTGTATCAAGAAGACAGAGGAATAAACAATACCTATGAGTCTTTATATTGAATGTTTTATGAGGCATACTGTTAAGAGCGAGAGGCAATCATAGAATAGCCAGTATGAATAGTATGCCACCATTCGTATGAAATTCAAAAGGTGGATATGAATACATACATTCTGATACATAAAAAATACCTCTAGAATGATAAATTTAATTGCCTCTAGAGAGGATAACTGAAAAGTCAGAGTAGAAATTAAATAAACTTTTAATTGAGAACCCGCCCCTTTTAAAGACTGAATTTTTTACCATGTGTATATAACTGAAATTTTAAACACCAAAATTAGATTTATAATGTATATACTATACTATTAACTCTAACTTCCATTACATCTGTTTCTGATTGCTACTATTACTTAGATAACAGTGTGATAACATCCTTAATTTTGTTTCACTATTTAACATAGATTTCTGAAAATACGATCAGATCCAGGAATGGATGAGAGATTGCCTTGAAGATTAAGTGATTTAATCACAGGTATTTACATTTTATCTCTTACTATATCTTTTTGTTATAGGTGAAATTATGTTTCATATTCTTGGACAAAATTTACAAATTTTTAGGATGAGAACTTGTAAAACTAGAGTTCTTTGGATGATTTATGAAAATTTGATTTGTATTATTACATATATATTTTAATTCATATGTGGTCCAGGCTCAAAACATTGGGCTGAAACAATCTTCCTGCCTCAGTCTCCCAAGGTTATTTGGATAACAGGCATGTACCTCAGTACCCAGCTAAAATTCTTTATTGATTTTTTGCCTTGCTATTTAAAGGGCATTATTCTACAAATTTATTTATTTTATATATTTAAGGTATACAATGTATTTTGATATATTCATAGTGAAATTATGGAAGTCAAATAACCCAATCCATCACCTTCTGTAGTTACCTTTTGTGATAAGAGAACCTACAATCATAGCAAATTTTCAATATACAATATTATCAACTATAGTCTTCATGTTTTGGGTTGAATCTCTAGATTTATTCATTCTCACAACTGCAGATTTGTACCCTTTGACCTACATCTCATTTCCTTCCCCTCCTTCCCAGTATCCACAATTCTACTGTTTCTATTTATTCAACTTGCTTTAGATTCCGCATACAAATGAGATCACACAGTACTTTTTCCCCCTATGTCTGGCTTACTTCACTTAGCATAATGTCCTCCAAGTTCGTCCGCATTGTGGCAAATGGCAGCATCTCCTCTTTTAAGGCTGAATACTATTTCATTGCATTTTTCTATGTGCAATCCTAAAGGGTGATTTTTAGGATGGAGCATATGTTTTATTATCCAGCCACTTCTTAGCCTGTATTAAGAATCACAGCACATAATCACACATACACACACAGAGCTCTACAAATTTTTGGTGTACAGTGGTTTCATCTACCTTGAACTCTATGGTTAAGGGGCTTATTTTTCTCATAGGTCATTTGGCTTCCACAGTGGGCAGTGTGAATTAATCATTCCTTTTGTCTAAATATCTTCTTTGTTCCTTTATTTGTATAGAGAAGGAAGACTTGTGTCTTTTGTCATTTCCATTTCTAAGAGTTTCCTCTCCGTCCTGCCCACTGGTCTCCTATTTTCACAATTTCTCCTGGCAGAGAAAGACAGTCCAGTCATTTTAATAATCAATAGCAGACCACAAGTCTTCGTGCTTTTCCCAGTATTTTTCCAGGGAAGGAAGTTCTGCCATGTATGTGGTTACGTCCTAAGAGGTGTCATGCAATGACACAATCAAAATATATTTATAGCTATATCTATAAAACATCTAGACATAAAATATCTATATGCATACAATCAAAATATCTAGCATATGATTCACTGATTTTACTTCAAATATAAAAATTCTCCAGGTATTAATGCATTAGCATCATGGTCATTTTTGTTTAATCTCGATTAAAAATGATTGAAAAAGCCATTTGGATGAAGACACAACTCTTAGTTTTCCTTGTATCATGTTAGTAACTTGATATATTTTACTTCAAGTTTAAGAACTTGAATTAACCATTAAATAAAGTAACTATTAGTTATTTTTTCCCTACAACTATGAGCCTTTAATGGAAAAGATGACATTATCAATTCTCAAACATACTCAAACATGGAGAATGCACTGTCTCTTAAGCACCCTGGGTTGCAAGCACCACATGTATCACTTCTATTGTCATTCTGGACCTAGCGCAAGGACCACTGGGGAACACAGACTCTGGCTAGGCAGTTGCTTTCTAGGGCAACTCTATACCATTCAAGAAGAAAGCACGATTCCCACAGTTATCCCTGCCCCATCTCGTGTATCAGTTAGCATTAGGAGATATGTGTTAGATCTGTCCTTTAATACCAAGTTCACTGTTTCTTATTAAGTGGCTACCCACACATGGGTTTTTACCAAGATCATTAAACCATAAATTGAATTTTTGGCCGAGTCCTATCCCAGGATTGACAACCCACACTTCCCTGTTGATGACTCTTGAATGACTCCCATTACATTCATTACTAAAACAGAAAGGATGCCAGAAACAAGCTGTTATTAGCCAAAGCAGTCCTGGTTACACTTATTTGGAGGTAGTATTCCCCAGTAGATTATTTTTCTTTGGATTATTAACTCGAAGTTCTTGTTTAATGAGGACTAGAACAGCACTCTTTTCCAGCATCAGGAGACCTGGTACTAAATGCTTACCACTTTGGACCTCAGTTTTCTCACCTGCAAAATGAATTTAGATGGACCAATCTCCAAAAGCTCTTCATGCTCAAAAGTCTCTACAGAGTCTAATGGAAACCTATTATGTTGCTTGTATAACTTAGGCCCTTTGAAGTTCTGTTTTCTTGTCTTGTGGTCATGCATATTGATGTGTTATCCACATAGACTATACTCATGTCTGAACGCTTTTGCCAGTGTGATCTGTCAACTTGTCACTGCTTCCTAGACCTCAGCAGCTCTGCTGTAATTTCTGATCATGCTTGAGTGTCTTCTGGAAGCACCCTTTCCCTCCATCACTTCAATATCTGGAATGTGGCCTATATGCCCAAATTCCTAATCAACTTTTTGAAGCGTTAAGCCTTAGCTTATGATAACTGAGATATCTAACCTTTGAAAACATATTCCCCAGGTAGATACTACTCTCTTCTCTTTAAATCTAATTTAGTACCCATGAAACGTGATCCATTTGATGGAACCATCTGTTTTTTTTCCTCTGCCAAAGACACTCTGCACATTTTGGCAGCTTCCCTAAGTGTACTCAATAACTCATGCCAAATACAGTTGGAATGCACCATGAATCCCAACTCTGAAAACAACTGAACCAAGCAGTGTTCATCGTAAACTGACTGATGTGTGGTGAGTCAAGCAACACTGGCTTATATACCTTAAGGTGAGTTGGGGAAGGGAGACTAAGTTAACGTGATAACTTCTACCCTGTAAACTGGGGACAGTGATTTGGATTCATAGGATAGTGACAATGTGGGGATTTTTCTTCCCTGAAATCTACTCCCCAGTTTTGGGATTACAATCTCTATTCAGATAAATACCACTGTGACAATCCCTTTTATACACATGACCCTGTGTATGTCTATACCCAGTTGATTGGTTCAGAAGCAACATCTAAGTATGAAGGAAGCTACATTTAGGACTCAGATTTCCAACATGGTATTTCTTAAGTCACTGTAGCTATACGAGCAACAGCTTGGGTGTTATAGGTCATGAGTCTTCCCACATAGACCAGAAAAAGAAAGACTGCATGTCTTCAATGAGAGAAGAGGCAGGGCGAGAGGGAGGATATGAGGAAGAAAAAAAAAGAGTAGAAATGCTCAGATGAAGACAGAGTTCTGTTATTATTTGTGCACTTGTGTCTGTTTTTCCCAGAGCCCAGTCATATTTTGTTTCTTAGATTCTAAGAGGTAGAGCATTTAAAAAATAAATTCTTTTTGCTTAAGCAAGTTATGCTATTTGCAAGCTAAATTTTGACTTATACATACAAGGGAAGAAAGTAAGATTTAATATCTTTCCGATCAATACAAGACTTGGCTTGTATTGGTTAATTTCATTACTTGATTAAAGAATCTAGACTAAAGTTTGAACCATTTGGAGGTTTGATCTCATTTTAGAATCATTTACTCCACAGATGGTAGCTTTTACAGTTTATCTGTCACAGTGTCCGTGCTTTCTGTATGTCCAGATTCTGAAGGGTTAATCATATAAAGTATTTATACCCTTAAACTAGACTTAACATTTCATTAGATAAGATATTAGGATGCTATAGTTTTTTTCTGCTTTGATACTAAACTTTAAGAGATGCTTTATAAGACTATCATAGTTCTCATTTGTATAACAGAAAAGCCAAACACAAAATATAGAAGCACAAAGCATGTATTGAGAAGTAAGCTTAAAATAAAGCTTGGTGATTTTGAATGTCTGTATTCAATTTGTTCAGACTGTGGTGAAGAATAACAATCAAAGAGGCAGGTATCATTCCTAATTTTTATCAAAAATTCACATCCTATCAGCGATAACATTTTTTAAAACTTTATAAATATCTCTTTAAAAAGTTAAATGAAATATTCAGTGTCTTTGTGTGTCTAGAGAAAGTAAACTTCAAACTAGATGCAAATGTCTTACCTTTTTTTTTTAAATTAACTCTTGAGAGTGATTTTTAAAACATTGGTTTTATGTATGCTTTAGGAAACCTGTTATTATATTTTTCTTCTGGTGTTTGATTGAATTTGCTTTGCTTTACGTTGTGGAGTCATTTTAGGGAGACCTTTTCCAAACCCAGGATCCCATTCACTGAGTAGGAAATGAAGAGTCCTCATCTTTTTAGATGGAGTTCTTTGTTAGAATCCTGGCTTCGGAAGTTGCTGTTTTTCATAGGGCATATCCTTTAACCTCTCTGAGTCCTGCTTTGCTCATCTCTAGTATGATAATAAAGTCTGACTTAAGAGGTGATTGCAGAATTAAAGACATAGTAGACATATAGCAGTAAAGAAATAAATAGTTGCCATTGTTGTTCACGCCAGTGTCCTCAGCCAAAATAGAAATTCTATTTGGCTCCCATAAAAGTTTTCATGAATGAATTGGCTTATTCTATTCTTGACAACTCAGACCATTACTCCCTCTGCAAATGGAAGAGGGCAGAAAGACGAGGACTCTGCTTACTGCTGTGATGCTGAAGAAGGTTCAACCAAAGAAGTTTCACATCTTTTGTTCTCTCCGCTAAAAACCAGGTATTGGGTGGTTTTCTTTTAACAACATTCTTTGTCAGCTGGGTTTAATTCCCCAGTTTATTATGTGTATTTGACGTTATTTCACCACACAGATATTAATAAAGAAGGAAATAATATAGAAGTAGTTACCTTCCTTCTCCCCAAAGAATAAAAGGCATAAAACCATCATATTTTCATTTGGTCAGACAATCAGAAAGTAGACAAATACATATGCAAAAAGATTTTTCTATTTTTTCTTACAGAAAGAAGAGCCATGTTTTTTTTTTTTTTTAAAAAGTATGTTTCAAATTGATGAATGAAAACAGCCTTTGAATGATGGATTAGAAAATGTATTTGTTGCATAAAAAATACCTCACGGTAGAAAATAAATGTTCTCAATATCAAGGTTTTCAATTATTATCGAATAAACCATTTGAGTTATGTCTTTTACTATTAAAGTCAAGGAAAGCATTGGTGTCCCATTTGCTGTGATTCATAGTAAGTTTAGCAGATTCACGATGGCTGGGATTATTCAAATTTGTAATTGAACATTCGCAATTCTCTAAATACAGTTTCTATTTCTTATCATATGAATCAATGCAAACAAACCTCCATGATGTTTAAGGGCTTAAATATTCAAAGTGTTCATTCTGAATGTTTTAGTTTTACTATCCCTTGGAGCGTCAACCTTTATTTTGCTTACTAAGAGTATACTAGTGTAGGTGAGTTACTGGTAGGGACACAGCAAGCACTCATAACTCTTAAATTTATTTTTATATTAGAAATATGTATTTTGGCTTTCATATTTGAAAATGTGTGTCTTCTCTTTATATAGCATATCGATTGGTTCAATTATAATTACTACTTGCCTATTTCAGTAAGTTCTAACCAGAAGGATGCACAAAAGTTAGATGCAACCAAAGGAGGAGAAGTATGAATGGGTTTGCATATCATTTCTCAAGCAATATGCACCAGTGACAAAACACCATGAAACTTTACTTTTTTCCAATCATTTACTGTTGCAGCTTTTATATCAGGTGCATTATTTATTTAATTTATAAAATTCAACTCAACCAAGTCACATGATGGTAGAATTCATAAAACCACTCATTTCAGCCTGGCATGGTGGCTCACGCCTGTAATCCCAGCACTTTGGGAGGCCGAGGCGAGCAGATCATGAGGTTAGGAGATTGAGACCATCCTGGCTAACATGGTGAAACCCTGTCTTTACTAAAAATTCAAAAAATAATTAGCTGGGCATGGTGGCCTGCACCTGTAGTCCCAGGTACTTGGGAGGCTAAGGCAGGAGAATGGCATGAACCTGGGAGGCAGAGCTTATAGTGAGCTGAGATCGTGCCACTGCACTCCAGTCTGGGTGACAGAGATTCCGTCTCAAGAAACAAAACAAACAACACACACACACACACACACACACACACAACAACAAAAACCACTCATTTCGTCCTTACGTACCCTACTAGCTATTTCCCCAATTCATTACACATTTTTTTTTCTTTCTGGTTTTACGTGTACAATTTTAAGTCATGGTTCTTTGTTGTCGTTGTTGTTGTTGTTGTTGTTTTTGAACCTACTCTTCCTCCACAATCTAAAGAGCTTGTGGATATCAACGGGCTGAATGAAACCTTACCAGGAGTTGACTTATCTGCTATGAGTAATTCAACAATGTGTTATTAAGACAACGTGGAGGCATAAAAAGGCAAAACATTTTTCTTTCCAACTTTTATTTTAGGTTCAAAGGCTACATGTGTGGGTTTGTTACATGGTTAAATTTCATGTTTTGGGGGTTTGGTGTACAACAATTTTGTCTGCCAGGTAAATAGCATAATACCTGATAGGTAGTTTTTCAATCTTTACTTTTCTCCTACCCTCCACCCTCAAGTAGGTCTGGTATCTATTGTTGTTCTTTTTGTCCATGTGCATTCCATGTTTATGTCCCACTTGTAAGTGAGAACATGCAGAATTTGGTTTTCTGTTGCTGTGTTAATTTGCTTAGGATAATGGTTTCCAGCTGCATCCATATTGCTGCAAAAAACATGATTCTGTCCTTTTTCATGGCTATGTAGTATTCCATGGTGTATATGTACCACATTTTCTTTATCCAGTTCACTGATGTGCATGTAGACTGATTCCATGTCTTTGAGATTGTGAATAACACCACAAAGAACACACACATGGCATGTGTCTTTATGGTAGAATGACTTATAGTCTTTTGGGTATATACCCAGTAATGGGATTCTAAGTCAAGTGGTACTTCTACCTTGAGTTCTTTGAGAAATCTCCAGACTGCTTTCCACACTGGCTGAATTAACTTACATTCCCACCAGCAGTGTGTAAATGTTCTCTTTTCTCTGCAACCTGTCCAGCATCTTTCATTTTTTTGAGTTTTTACTAACAGCCATTCTGACTAGTGCAAGATGGTATCTCATTGTGGTTTTGATATGCCTTTCCATAATTATTAGTAATATTCAGTGGGAAAGACAATTTTTGTTATGAAAGCTTTGCAAATGCATATTCTCATGACCTTTTTTTTATCCTTTGCCCCATTGCATAGAGGTTGGAGCATTTGAAAAATATCAAAAAAACAGCAGAGACAAGTTTAGGTGGTTTCCAGGGGAGAGGCACTGAAAGTGATTGATTCCTATCAAAAGCACAAGGACAGGGTAAGTGATTCTTTCTAGTAAATGACAGTAGAGATACAGCTGAACTGTGAGAATGTAATAATGGTTATGGCAAGGAAGGCTGATGAGTTCTAGGAAAAGCACATTGCTTGTGACCAGAGCAGTGGTTCTTGACTTTTACAGGTCTGATATCAGGCCATCACCATATCAAAGAATCTAGATACCACCACGGTGGAAGCCAAATTTTTACTTTTTATCTTTATGATTAGCCACAAAATACCTATTTATGTGTTTTTTGTCAACGCTCAATAACGGCAACATAAGCTCTGTCATACCTAGTTTATGTAAGTGTACTATCAGCAGGTCATGCTCCGCAATTACAGCATCACTGTCAAGGGACACACTGGGTCCTAAGTACTGATGTCCTAAATTCCACTTTGCTAAGGCCAACTGATCGAACAGCAAGCAAATACGAGAAAGGAGATTGAAACTGAATCACAAGAAATGTGCGTTCTATGTGCGAAAGTGGGATCCATTACAATCCGATGCACTGCACCAAAAGCATAGTGTGAAAGATTAAATAATCTAGGATTTCCTAACTAGAGATCATTGTCTTCTCATCAGCAGTTCAAGTACAAAGAGACAGAGAGAGACAAAGCAGGGACATTGGTAGCAATAAAATAGCAGTGACTAACATCAACTATTACAGCAGGAAGCCCTAGGCATTGGGAAGCTGGCACAGAGGTTCTGGGTATATCCTACAGTCAGTACCTTCCTGGAAACCCTCTGGGAAGAAAACAGCTGATGGGATCAGGGAAGGTGGGACCCTACCAGACTGGATCAAGGACAAAAACCATCTCCTTCACTCAGAGTGACAGATTTTATCAACCGTCAGAATGCATAACAGGTAGTTCAAAGAGATTCATTTCCATGAATTTCCTTTGAGTCCAAATGCACTTTTTAGTAAGATAATGCATGCCTCCACTGCATTATTTTTTTCTTGTCTATGTTTGCCAAGTAATGCCATAAAGATCTCCATTTATGAGTTTAAACATAAAGAACTGAACTCAGATGAATTCTGCTGGTCACATGGTGATGATCTAAGAACTTGGCAGGAATTGCTGTGATCGGATCCTCAGGCTGCTAGTCATAGACACCTGTTATCACTGGAAAAAGGACTTTTCAGTCACAGCCCTTAATGTTTCCTGTCTTATGCTGGCAGAGACACCTGCACACAGAAGCTTTGTTAGTCCAATTTTGGGTTTTTTTTGCACAAATTTGTTATTTTGTGGAAGATTCCCGGTAAACACACACATGTGAGTGCACACACAAGAACTTGTCTACATCACTACTCATGGGAAACATTTATTTTCTCTTCATTTCTGCTCCTCTTCAGAGAAAAACATTCATGCAGGATAAGGTACCATTGCTTGTCAATCTCTTTCTAAATTTGGAATCAGTCCAGAAAACCCAGGAGGAAGCTCAACTCAGCCACAGTTAATCTTCAGAAAATCCATCCCACGTGACTCCCCCCCACCCCCCCCCCCCCCCCATCAGTGCTGATCTTTTCATGTATTCTTTATAAGGAATCCATTGAACTTTAATTAATATGAAAAATTCAGGTTTTCATCTGATTTAAATGTGACTGACATCACGCTGCTGCTAAAAGTGGAACAAAGTACACGCATGGTGAAAATAAAACTTAAAACCTGGTGCCTATTTTTTCACCGCCAAATCATCTCTAGCACTTTCAAGAGGCAGGAGAGAAATGTACCCAGAGCATTTTCTAGGAGTCTTCATGTCCATATGTACGAACAGGGACATGCTTGAAAAAAGTCTGTACACAGGCAGGAACGCGATTCGCTCTGTCACATCAATCAGCAATCTTTAGCTCTAAACGTTCCAGTTAAAAAGGACTGGAGTGACACAGTTAAAGGTATAGATTCCAAAAGGGTTAACGTGGTAGTAAGGAGTAAGAATTCTTTTGAAAGGAAAACACACACTCATCTGCCATTTGTACACACGCACCATCTCTAGCATTCAGTGGATTGTTCAAAACAGGCACAAATGTGCTCCTGGAAGGCGTTAGGGTTCTGCTTGCTACAGATCAGGCTGCTCTCATGTTGATGGATTCTACTTATCCATAGGTGAAGTAGAGGATGTGTGTCCTGATGTTGAGACAGCTTTGTTACAAGAACTATCATTCTATCTTCTCCATAGAACCTAGTCTACTATCATAGCAACACATGAAAGCCTAAGAAGTGACTACGAGAGCACAATTAACACATTTTTGAAACATACAATACGTTGTTAACTGTAGCTGAGTTGATAAACATCCTAAATCAGCTGACTTCATCAATACCCATTCTATGCAAGAAAACGTGTTCTCTGTAAATATGTGCAAGTGTTATATATCAATATAAATAACACATTTCTCACTGCAATAAAATATATCAATCATTGAGCTTTATCTTTTTCTGAGATAGGGTCTTGCTCTGTCACCCAGGCGGGAGCTGTGTTCGACTATAGCTCACTGCAGCCTCAAACTCCTGGGCTCAAGTAATCCTCTTGAGTAGCTCGGGCTAAAGGTGTGGGCCACCACGCCAGGCTCTTTTTTTTTTTTTTTTTTTTTTCCATACAGTCAAGGTCTCACTGTGTTGCCCTTGCTGGTCTTGAACTCCTGGGCACAAACAATGCTCTCACCTAAGCCTCTCAAAGCACTGGGATTCCAGGTGTGAGTCACTGTGCTAGGCCCCTGATAAAACTTTACAGTTCTTGGTTAAAAAAAAAAATCCTTCTCCACCATGATGGTGTATGTGGTTGGCTTTCCTCTTCAATGTTCTCAGAAGACTTTCAGGATCCAGTAATTCCAGGCCAAGAATCAAGCAGCACCCATTCTCCAGGAGATTAGAATACGAACTTGTTGTAAAGTCAGGTACAGTTCCACAAGCAGACGCTGGAGAAGAGCCAAGTTGGGCCTGTGAGGTCTTGCATGTGAAATGGCTCATATATTCATGGCGGCCATTCACAAAGTCCTTAGCATCTTACCATATCAAACCGAAAGTCAGCACGATCTGGATAGTTGGACAGGTTTTATTGATAAAATAATGACATTTTTCTTTGTATTTATACTTCTCTAGTAGGTTCGTTCAGTAATAAATATGTGAGCTCTTAGGCTTGGGAAAAAAAAGATTTTAAATTAGGACTTTGTTGTAACTCTGCATATTGGCCTTGATCAAATCACTCTGTCCATTTAGCACCACTTCCCACTGTTACGTATGGGGAGAACGTGGGTCATCTCTTACCATACACATGTGAGTAAAGCTAATGTGAATTTTTGGAAAGTCATTTAAATTAAATTCTGAAAGGGTTAATCTCATTAAATGATTCCGAAATTCTGGCAAGCATGTTTAAAACATGAAGCATCTCAACTTCTTTTCAGTTCTGTACAAATGTTTTCCTCTTCTCTTTAACCTGTAACCTCTGATAAGTATACAAGCTACCCTTTTCCAAACATGTACACACAGGTACACACAGATATTGGAGACTTTAAAAAATTATAGTATAAATAAGCAGCGTTGAGATAGTTTTATTTTAATGTGATAGTGTTTCAAAGAATATGTATCCGAAGATGAGAACCACAGGTTGGAGTTGAGTCAATGCTCATCTTAGTTGTTGAGTAGCTAGGGTCTCGAATTAAATAGATACGGAGTGCCTCTGCCATTTTCTGATGAGTTTTGTTAATGTTTTGGTAAATTCAGTGGGCATTTAAGTATGATTGTCTTAACCCGGTATTTCTACCAAAGCTTTCAAAACCTACAGGAATATGACTATAGTTTGGGAGGCTGGGGTTGGTAAACAACTTTCTGTGAGTTTCTGGTATTTCTGTGCATCTTGCAGGTAGAGGCACTATCAGCCTTTAGTCTAGATTCTCTAGTCAAGGATGTGTGTTTGGCAAACAGTCTTGGCAAATAGAGATGGTTGCTGTCTACCTCTAGAGCAAAGGGCAGACATGCTTGCTGTCCAGTGTAATGAAGTTAGCATCTCTCTCTGGGGTCATGCATATTTATTGCTAATTATAGAAGATCTCTGTTTTCTAAACTCAGGCTTCTTTTCCTAAAATCCAGTGAACTGTATGTGGTTATTCCCTGGCTCTCTGTTGCCCTGTGGGAACTAGGGCTTGAGGACCTGGCACAAGAAATGCTGATGCTCTGACTCTGCTCTTACCATGGGTAATAAGTTGTGCTTTTTCTCTGACCCAGGAGTCTGTGTCATTAGCTAGAGCATCCACGAAACTGTCAGGCTAACTTGTGCACTTGCTAGTAGGGTAAAATCTCATATTCTTTACTGTTCTTGACAGGTAAGTGTGTGGCCCAGTAGGAATGATGATTTCCTACTTGTTACAATACCATTTTTAATGGATATTACAGATCAGAAATATTTTCTTTGGACGGATACAGTAAGCCAATAGTATGCACCAGAGATTAGGAAATTGCCCTCTGTGCAATGAATCTGGCCTGGTCCCTACAAACTTTGTTTTTACAAAAACAAAGTTTTATTTGAACAGAGCCACGTACATCATTGATACACTGGCTATGGCTACTTTCACGTTACAACAGTAGAGTGGAGGAAATCCTGTGGCCCTTACAGCCAGAAATATTTATTACCTGGCTCTTTAGAGAGAATGCTTGCCAACGTTTATTAGAGATCAGAGGCAGCAATAAAAAATTCAAGCCATCACGAGCTGCCTTAGGAATATATTAGGTAGAAATGAAAGTAAAATAACCATTGCATGACAGGGTAAGAGTTTAACAAAATCAGCAAGAAAAAAACAAACAGTCTTATTGAAAAGTGGACTAAGGACAAACAATTCTCAAAAGAAGATATACAAATGGCCAAGAAACAAACAAAAACATGCTCAACATCACTAATGATCAGGGAAATGCAAATCAAAACCACAATGTAATACCACCTTACTCCTGCAAGAATGGCCATAATCAAAAAATCAAAAAAACAATCGAAGTTGGCATAGATGCAGTGAACACGGAACACTTTCTACACTGCTGGTGGTTATACGATAGAATACTACTCAGCCATAAAAAGGAATGGATTAATGGCATTCACAGCAACCTGGATGAGATTGGAGACTATTATTCTAAGTCAAGTAACCCAGTAATGGAAAACCAAACATCGCATGCTCTCACTCATAAGCAGGAGCTAAGCTATGAAGATGCAAAGGCATAAGAATGACACAATGGACTTTGGGGACTCAAGGAAAAGAGTAGGAAGGGGGAGAGAGATAAAAGAATACAAACTAGGTGCAGTGTACACTGCTCGGGTGATGGGTGCACCAAAATCTCACAAATCACCACTAAAGAACTTATTCATGTAACCAAAGACCACCTGTTCCCCAATAATCTAAGGAAATAAATTTAAAAAACGAGTAGGAGTTTAACAGCAAAGTACAGATAAACATATTGACTATATGTACTACATTTCTACAGTGTGTTCAACAAATATTTGTTGAACTACAGTTGCCTATTCAGATCTTGCCAGATTCAGCTCATCTCTCTCAAAGAAGCTGACTCTAATTCTGTAGTAATTTTTTCTCCTCGGAGCTTCCATAGCACCTTATCTGAACATCTTTTATAACCAATGTTCTACTTTACATTGCAGTGTTTATGTACATTGATCTCTCCTGCTAGACTTAAGGTAAAATGTATAACTGTAAATGGATTCATAAACTTATTTCCATAATCCAACTTTCAGGATAATGATCAACTTTTAGAAAATTTAGAAATTAATTTGAGCCACTTTTTTTAACAGTAGGAATCATTAAAATTGGATTTTTATAAGATTAAAATAGCAAATTATGCCCATACATTGAAACATTAAATGTGCTCTAATACATTGTCTTTGTAGAATATTTCTCTTTTTAATTATATTTCTTAAAGTCTAATTGCATTTCCTTAGCTGATTTCAATTTAATAAAGGAGGAATGTAACAGAATGGAATTATACCTATTGGCAAGGGAAAAGATACATACAAATCGATTCTTCTTGAGAAGGTGGTGATGGAGAAGATACAAAAAAAGATATCACTAACTCTCGGGCTGGGCATGGTGGCTTATGCCTGTAATTGCAGCACTTTGGGAGGCCAAAGCAGGTGGATCACAAAGTCAGGAGATCAAAACCATCCTGGCCAACATGGTGAAACCCCATCTCTACTAAAAATACAAAAATTAGCTGGGCGTAGTGGCAGGTGCTGAAATCCCAGCTACTCGGGAGGCTGAGACAGGAGAATCGCTTGAACCCGGGTGGCAGAGGTTGCAGTGAGCTGAGATCGTGCCACTGTACTCCAGCCTGGCAACAGAGTGAGACTCCATCTCAAAAAAAAAAAAAAAAAAAAAAAAAAGGAATAAGGAGAGGCAAACCTTGCTCTCACTGTTTAAGATGTGTTAATAATTTTTCAGGCAAACCTTATTATTGCATGATGCCCTCAAATTAATCTCACTCTAAAGTAATCATGACATATCCCAGCTGCTGGTCCAGAGCTCTGGGGCTTCAAACAAAGGCTGGAACCTCTTCACAGAGGCCAGCAGCTTGGAGGAAGACAAAAGGCACGGTGGGAGGAGAGTTCTCAGTAACTGACATACACTCTGGTTTTATCTTTTCATTTTCCATCATTTAGTTTCACTCTGTCCTTAAAACTAACAAAAGTTAAACTTTCACAGCCAACAGGATAGAAAAGTGCAAAAGTTTCTGTGAACAAAGAATGATATGAAGTAAGGTAGAAATTCAAGAATATTAAAGATGTCAGCCTCTCATATGGGACAGAAATTAGAGAGTTTAAGGGCAAGTGAACTTGTCAGGTCTCATGTGTTTGTACAAACACAGAGCTAAGAACAATCAGATGCTAGAAGAGATAATACTGAATTACTGTTGATATCCTAAGGCCAAAACTTGGCTTACCGCTCTGGCAGTCAAAGACTAGTATCACCTTCATGTCAAATGAACTACAAAAGCGGAGGGAACACGTTTTCACATTTGGTTTTCATATCCTATGGAGACAAGTTTTGTTTTTGAGTTTTTGGTTAATTCTTACCAGCCTCCAAATTCTAAGAGAGTAAAACTATTTTTAAGGGAAAAGCAAAGGGGATGTGCTTATTTTACAAGGCTTCTAGCATGTTAGGATTAAGCAACGTGGTGTTGAGAAAGAAGCGATTGTATTTATGTTTGACAACTCTACTAACCTGTCAGTTACTTCAAGTTCGAAACTATTTACTTTTGCACACATCCCCCAACAAATTTACCTGTAATCATTACTCATATATCACAGGAGCTGATGAAATGCATATGTATTGAGTGGGTAGCATTGATTAATATGGCTATAGTGTTCATAAACCTATGGGCAAAATAAAAGTTATTCTAATTTTTTCTATCTACTTTCATATATAAAGGCCAGACAGACTCAATTGTGGTTTTTGTTTGTTTTTTGCTTGCATGTAGTGTGCGTGAACCAGTATGAAGTCAGTACCAGGCCAGTAAATGGA